TCCAACTATAGGGGGATCACACTCCTCAGCCTTCCCGGTAAGATCTATGCCAGGGTACTGGAGAGGAGAATCCGGCCGATAGTCGAACCTCGGATTCAGGAGGAGCAGTGTGGTTTTCATCCTGGCCGTGGAACACTGGACCAGCTCTACACTCTCCATCGGGTGCTCGAGGGTTCATGGGAGTTTGCACAACTAGTCCACATGTGCTTTGTGGACTTGGAGAAGGCATTCAACCGTGTCCCTCGTGGTGTCCTGTGGGGGGTGCTCTGGGAGTATGGGGTCCGGGGTCCTTTGCTAAGGGCTGTCCAGTCCCTGTATGACTGGAGCAGGAGCTGTGTTCATTGCCGGCAGTAAGTCAGACCTGTTCCCAGTGCATGTTGGACTCCGCCAGGGCTGCCCTTTGTCACCGGTTCTGTTCATTGTGTTTATGGACAGAATTTCTAGGCGCAGTCAGGGGCCGGAGGGGGTCCGGTTTGGGGACCACAGGATCTCATCTCTGCTGTTTCATGTTGTCCTGCTGGCTTCATCAAACCAGGACCTGCAATGTGCACTGGGGCGGTTTGCAGCCGAGTGTGAAGCGGTTGGGATGAAGATCAGCTCTTCTAAATCTGAGGCCATGGTTCTCGACCGGAAAAAGGTGTCTTGCCCTCTCCGGGTGGGTGGGGAGTCTTTGCCTCAAGTGGAGGAGTTCAAGTATCTCGGGGTCTTGTTTACGAGTGAGGGGAGGACGGAACGTGAGATTGACAGGCGGATCGGTGCAGCTTCGGCAGTGATGCGGTCGCTGTATCGGACCGTTGTGGTGAAGAGGAGCTGAGCCGAAAGGCGAAGCTCTCGATTTACCGGTCAGTCTTCATTCCTACTCTCACCTATGGTCATGAGCTCTGGGTAGTGACCGAAAGGACGAGATCACGGATACAAGCGCTCGAAATGAGTTTCCTCCGCAGGGTGGCTGGGCGCTCCCTTAGAGATAGGGTGAGGAGCTCAGTCACACGGGAGGAGCTCGGAATAGAGCCGCTGCTCCTCCACGTCGAGAGGAGCCAGTTGAGGTGGCTCGGGCATCTGTTCCGGATGCCTCCTGGGCGCCTCCCTCGGGAGGTGTTCCGGGCATGTCCCACCGGGAGGAGGCCCCGGAAGACCCAGGACACGCCGAAGGGACTATATCTCTGGACTGGCCTGGGAACGCCTCGGGGTCCCCCCGGAGGAGCTGGAGGACGTGTCTGGGGTGAAGGAAGTTTGGGAGTCCCTGCTTAGGCTGCTGCCCCCGTGACCCGGCCCCGGATAAGCGAACGAAAATGGATGGACGGATGGATGGATGTACCAACCACATTTTGCAAATTTGTTCTCTTCAAATTGTCTGTTGAGTCCAAGTCTCCATGAACAGGCAATTGTTTACAGTAGAGTAGCAAAGACAAGGAAATTTTAACATGGGATGTTTTGTTTTATCTGATAAAAGACAATAAAAAGGCCAGTCTTTACTTAAACATATTTAAAATATTATTGATAGAGAAATGATTTTTATATGAGATCACTGCTGCCTGAAATTATGTCCACACTACTGTTAGTGTCATATTGTTTAGACCTGGTTTTACTCCTGGTTTAGTCCTGTTTAGTCCTGCTTTTAGTCCTGCTTTTAGACCTGGTTTAGACCTGGTTTAGTCCAAAATGTGAAAACAGGAAAATCCCTCTGTGTAATCCATTTATTTCAACGAAGTAACTGTAATCCAATTACCACTCATTGAAACAGTAACTGTAACTGAATACAGTTATTCATAATTTGTACTCTGATTACGTAACTCCGGTACATGTAATCTGTTACTCCCCAACACTGGTGATGTTGAGATGAAGCCCCATGAAGCACTGAAGCGTTCAATCCATTTGCTCGACTCTTGAGCCGATGCTTCAAGGTGCTTCTTTTGTTCCACTGCCCCATCAAGAGTGAGAATAGAACCATCAACATGATCATTGTTGTTCTGATAGAAACATTTATACTGAATAAATGAATTATTAAATATTTGAATGTTTGCGATATCAACATACAAAGTGTGAATGTATTAACCTGGAGTCTGTGTTCATGATATAACGGTCGAGTTAAAAGAAAAAGTAGCTTATGCCACAATAAGGACGGCAAAATAGGGTCATTTTATTGATTTTTATTTAAAAATATCAATTTCTCTACAGTATTTGGACTCACGGTTTCTTTTTTACAGAGAATTTCCCCTGCTTAAAAAAACAAACAAAAAACTTTCACAGTGCACAGATGAAGCAGGCGTGCAGAGAAAAGCCACTCACTGGCTCCATCGCAAAAAAAAAATTAAAAATCTCAAATAGAATGTACCAAACTCGCAATAACCCAAAACCACTAAATGTTTTGCGGGAATCTGTTGCGTTTCACTGGCTCTTATGTTTCAAATTGTGACAAATCCCCAAACCAATTCAGTCATGTGGTAGAGCCGGGCAGCGAGGCTTCAGATGTCATCATTTTTGACTCCTCCCTCAAATGAAGCGAGCCTTGATTCGTGCTTCACGGAAACACCCCGTTCATTACTCGACACAGGCTTCGAAGCCTCGGCATATCTCGTAACATCACTAGTTTCTGGGGGGACTCATTTGGCACCTGGACAGAAGATAAAAAAGAAGGTAAGAGGTAAGTAAAAAGCAGAGCCACACCATTCTTTAAAACACAATCAAATACACAAACACACACATCAACACTTCAAACATTTCAAAAACAAATATTGCACCATATATATTGCACTACTTCAATTTAAAAAGGTAATTGGTTTATTGTCTCTTTTCCCTCCAGGGACCAGCAGCTTCAATTAAAGTGCTACTGTGCCTCAGGATTCAAAAGTGATAAAAGGAAGGACAATAAATCCTTTTTAAATCCAGTTGTGTGCAAATTCTCTTGTCATGTGCAAATCTGTTGAAAGTGCTTTGTGCTGTCAACGTGCAGTGTTTTAAAGTGTCCTAGTGAAGGGTGAAGGTGCTGAGTGTAGTTATTGGTAACAAACCACCAGCCTGATTGTTACACATGTTTGAGTAACACTTTATTATTCAAAAAGCTCAGAATGCTCTGCTCCAGCTTGTGATGTCATGAAGTGGTAGTTTTCAAGTTAAAAGCTCCTTTTCCCTTTAGTTCAGTAGAGATGGGCTAAGTCCAGGTCTGAAATGATCCAAGTGATTCTAGTGAAGGTGTGTGGAGTTTAGAAACACAGTGAAGCACTTCCTGTATCGCCACATGATGTCACAAAGTGGAATAGAACTCAGCCTAAAAGTACAGAGTTTGTGTGTTAAACATGTGAATGAAACAAAATACAACTCCAGGTGAGTTTGTGATGAGGAAACCACATTAGAACATGAGAAAATAGTGTTATGGGCCCTTTAAAGTGTTCCTTTACAGTGTTACAGTGTTCCTTTTAAAGCTTTATAACTTTTGTGTTTGTAGTTGAAGCTAAGAACATGACAGACCAGGCAAGAAATAAAACTGAAACACTGAAAAAACGATCTTGTAATAAAAATAGAAAGTGTGAGACTCGTGTGGTGACTGTTTGACTCTAGACAGAGAGAAAATGCTCTTCAACAGAGGTGAAAGAGTATCTGAAAATGTACTCAAATGAGACTAACATTATTTCAGAATAATATTACTCAAGTAGAAATACAAAGTAGTGGCTCAAGAAATGACTCAAGTAAGAGTAAAAAAGTATTTGGGAATTCATGTAAGAGTAGTTTAAAGAGTAACTATCGGGACGTAATATCTGATTTATAATATAAAGAACAAAGAACAATATGAAGAAAAAAACATGAGTCAAACACTCCGGTGTTTCCAAAGACACAAAAATGAGACAATCAGATCTGAAAGAAACACAAATGTTCAAATCATTTCAGATTGTCACAGAAAACTTTTGTCACTTTAGTCCAGGGGTGTCAAACATACGGCCCGGGGGCCAGATCCGGCCCTCCAACACCTTTAATTTGGCCCTCAGCTGATTTTCTACAAAAATATTTTAATTATATTTTCTATTAAAATATTGTTAATTTTCTGTGGTGTTTATCACAGCAGCGTCTCCAGTGTCTCTGTACGTGGCCCCTCCCACCAGAGCAGCACAAATGAAGACTTGTCTCTTTCCAAACGCTCTTAAAGGACGATCGTTTTGACTGTTGACCGTGACACCCTCATCAGAAAAATGTCCAACATGAGAAAAGTGGAGCCGAGTGCAGGATTTTACAACTAAAATTGACTTATTCCTATTTGCACAAGTTTATGTTAAAACATTGTGTTGAAATTGTATTTTTCTTAAAGTTTCAGGTTGTTCATAATATTATAATATTTTGTAAAAGAAAGAGTTCATCAATTAAGATTCTGTAATAGATTTGTGTTTCTCTGCACAAATATTTGAACTTATTGTTATTTTTGGGGTTTATATGACATGAGTTTTCTGATCCAGACACTTTGGGATCAAAGTAGGTTGGAAAATTAGTTTGACACTTCTGATTTAGACTCAGTCACAGTGGGAAGAAGAAGTACAACGTCAATTAAAAAATTACTCAAGTAAGAGTAAACATGCTACTAGAAAAGTACTCTGAAAAGTACAATTTCAATTCCTCTGTAACGAGGTACTATCCACCTCTCCTCTTTAGCGCCCCCTAGTGCCCGTCAATATAAACTCCTCCTCCTTCACACTGAGCTGAAGTTTCATCCATTTTAAAGAAAGTCATGTTCAGACACATTTCTGAGGCCACAGGGCTTTTTATGGAAAACCCCAAAGTCTAAAAGCAACACCAGACCAGGACCTGAACCGGTCTAGACTAAGACTGAAAGTGAAAGTGCTCTAGTGTAACAGCAGTTGGCATTTACATCATGTCAAACCCATTTTAAATAAACACATTTCAATTTCAGAAACATAAACATGAACGCTCGAGTCTCGGCTTTGAGCAAAACAAAAATAGAGTAAAAAAATAAATAAATAAAACTTGGTTCTTTATCCAGGATACTCCATGTGACCCGTAGGTACTGCATGTGTCTGGTGAGATGTTACTGCTTTGTCTGATTGTTCCACAGTATGACTTTAAATGTTTGTATCTTCTTGATAACAAGCTGGGCCAACTTCCAGGTCCAAGCTGTGGAGAGGCAAGCTGTGAAAACAGTAAGAACACATGATTTACAAGGTATTTTTGAGTAATTGATACTTTACAGTGACATCACACTGGAGGTGTTCTACATGTTTCTCTCTGGCAGAATGTGCAGCAGTTACCATAGTGACACAATGTCCATGTTAATGAACATGGCCAAAAAAGGTTTAAGATTGTCTGAAAATTCAAGAAAAAAAATACAAAGTGGATTTAAAGAGCACATTTTCAGGAGCCTGTGTTCACTCTGAGCGTTTGTGGTTCTGTTTCAGAGTTTGATTTTCAACTAAAAGGTGAAAAAGTGTTGGCTTGTGATGGTAAATATTTGTGTGAGGGATTTGTCTAACAGCACAGATCATCATCTGTTGTAGTTCCAGCTAAGACTGTTCTCTCTGGTCATGTTGACTTAAAACAAAACTCAGAATAAACTTTAATCTGAGTTTAGTCTAAATAAATAAATAAATATGCATGGATTGTGTGTTAAACATGTGTGAATTAAACAACTTTATAACATAGATCAGAAAATACCGTCAAATGGCTATTCTGTATTTACAGGAGTAATTGACACTCAAAAGATTATTCTGCAACCTTGGCTTTGGTCCTCAAGGATAAAACAATTTAAAGGTGAAGATTTTTCTGCTGGAGGGCACGACAAATGCTTATCTGCATGTAAATGTTATTCTGTTACCGAGAATGTTCCACAGTATGGCATTATACTGTTGCCTGCCAGATCTGTGGAGAGGCAGTCTTGCGCACATAACAATCTGAAAGTAGATCGTAACTCTGTCTTAAAGTCTATTCAGAAAATCAAAAATCTCTCTCCTTTACTGGTGTAACTGCATATACAGCCAAAGAATAGAACCATTTTCATTATAATGCCACAAAACCAAACCACAGAAATAGCATTTTTGATGTGGTGCTGAATTCTGTGGATTAAAGTCTAATATCATGGGCCAGTTTATTGATTCGCTCGTCCCTGAAAGCTCTTTGATGTAGCCCAAGATCTACAGCTTCATTCAGCCTGATTTATCTGCTATTCTGGGCGGGTTAAGCTTCAGTTAGAATCACACGCTCAGGGAGTGTTGATGACATCAATAACATCGATGAAACTGACGTGATTGAATAAATGTGAGATAGATACATTTTGTAATATTCAAAGCAAAAGCAATAATATGAAGGTGGTGGTGAAATGTTCCATAATGTAGCTTTATGTCACTGTTGATCCTGTGTGTGTGTTTGGACATAAGACACAGACTGAAGTGCGAGGGACCAGTCACAACATGAGGGAACATTTGCTCTTTGTTTTGAACTGTGTCAAAGTGAAAGTGAAAGTACTTCTGTCTGTGTGAGGAGGAGGAAGAAGAGGAAGAGGAAGAGGGGGAGGGACAGTGGGTCTATTTAAACCACAGCAGAATCTGCACCAAGAGACACACAGGAAACAAGACAAAATGACTAAACTCGGTGAGTATATAAGATTTTAAACCAGGACTAAAACAGGACTAAACCAGGACTCAGCCAGGTCTGAAACAGGACTACACCAGGACTACACCAGGACTAAACCAGGACTAAACCTGGACTACATGCAAACTAAAACTGGTCTAATCCCTGACTAAACCAGGACTAAATCATAGCTACACCAGGACTAATCCAGGTCCCCACAGGACTGAGGGCGTCTTTAGTCGTGGCTGGGTGCTGGGTGCTGTGTGCTGCAGATGTGTCCCCTGCTGATCTCAACACGCTCTACAACAGCCCAGTGAAGACGGCCGAGTGGGTCATCCGCCCCAAACAGGGAATCTGGGACTGGGTCCCAGATATGTACCCCACCACCCACAGCGGAGTCAGGTTAGTGCGGCAATCATTCTCTGCATTTGACCCGTCCTTTAGTGTCTCTGGTTTAAACCTGCATTTGACCCATTTCACAGTCTCTGGGTTAAACCTACATCTGACCCGTCCTTTAGATCCTTTAGTTTCTCTGGGTTAAACCTGCATTTGATTCATTCTTTAGTGTCCCTGGGTTAAACCTGCATTTGACCCATCCTTTAGATCCTTTAGTGTCTCTGGGTTAAACGTACATTTGACCCGTACTTCAGCGTCTCTGGGTTAAACCTGTCAGGAGCAGTGGGTCCCAGCTCCAGATCTTGAGCTCCTGTGGGTCAGGTCTGTTTTAGCTGCAGGATTTGACCCGTTGTGCATGTTTTGAGTTGTTGAGGAAAACCAGAGGACCAGACACAAGAAGAACATGCAAACTGCACACAGAAACAAGACTGAACCCAGAGCCGTTCTGCTGCGAGACTCATGACAAACATTCACACACTGCATCTTTAAGTGAAAGTTTCTAAAGAAGCCAAGATAGAGAATATAGACTCTTCTGACCCCGCCCCTCTATCCTATGTCCCTCTCTATGTTTGACTCCGCCCCTCTGTCGTCAGGGTGACTCTGGAGGACGGGAGACAGTTCCTGATCCACAAAGGACGAGACTTCGGAATATTGTCAGAGACAGTGGTCACCGACGCAAAACACATGTCCGACAAATGGGAGGTAAGACCGGGTCTGAACCAGGACTAAACCAGGACTAGACCAGATCTTGTACAAGTCTAAAGCAGGACAGAACATGGATTGAACCAGGGCTGGATCAGGACTAAACAAGGACTGAACTAGAACTAGACAAAGATAAAGTAGGACTAGATGAGGACTAAACCAGGTCAAATTTAAGACCAAACCAGGATATAACCAGGATTGAACCAGGACTAGATCAGAACTAAAACAGGACTGAACCAGGACTAAACCAGGTCTGCACCAGGACTGAACCAGGTCTAACCTACGTCTCTGCAGGTGAAGCTGAGGCGGGGCTTCATGGGGTCTGTGACTGTGGGGGACTTGGTGAAAGCTGGAGGAGAGAAGTACACCATCATGTTGGGGGAGCACTGTCACAAAGCTGCAAAAGACATGATGAACCTGAATATAGAAGAAGACGAAACAGTTAAACCGTGTGTTTTTCTCCACCCTTAAACATGTGTATGACATGGGGGTGATTCCAGCTCCATCGAATTCAGCTCTAATTCACTTTCTATTGAAAAATCACCCCTCTTTTTGTAACTGCTGCTGTCACATGCTTCATTTTGGTCATTTGGTCTAAAATATTTGTATTAACCCACTCTGCATGATCCTGTTTTTGGTTGTTGTTGTTTTTTTTTTGTTTCTGTTTTGTTTTGGGGGTTTGGTTGCTGTGATACTTACGGTCTGATTTCCAAATGTGGAAGCTCAAAATTCCTGACTGGTTGTAAATCTCTGTGTGTCTGTAATAAAGTCATTGTGATTCTGTACTTGGGGGAAACTACATTTTAAAACTGCACTGTGTACGAGGATCTGAAACCATAACGATGTTGCCAGGAATATTAGGAAATAGAAAGGCATAAAACTTTATAATTTCCATGGAGATAAGCAGACCAATATCAGATCTGTGGAGAGGCGACTGCACTTACTGTAAGTACAGTGTTTAAGATTTTAAAAACAGCTGCACTGAAAGAAAAAAAAGTTTGCTGAATTTGTGTAAAAATAATATGGAAAGAGGTTGTGTGCAATAAAAATGATGTTTGATACCCTCTATGTATTTCCTTGAACATAAAAATGCAAAATCATGAAAATGTTTTATGTTGTTATTTTTTATGCTTTTATGTTGTTATGTTTTTATATATAATTAAATTCTGTCTAGTCAGTCAGAGTTCTAATTTTGGATACAGGTCACTGAGGTCATCCTTGTATTCGGCTTGATTTTTTTCTGAGATTTTTTTTGCAGTTTTAATAACTCCCTCTCCTGGATTTTGTCCCTCAGCTCAGGCCTAATAATAATAATAATAATAATAATAATAATAATAATAACAATAATAATGATACAGTAATTCAACAGATACTGTATTCAGGCTCTCATTTCACTTACTCACATCCATCCATCCATCCATTTTCGTCCGCTTATCCGGGGCCGGGTCGCGGGGGAAGCAGCCTAAGCAGGGACTCCCAGACTTCCTTCACCCCAGACACGTCCTCCAGCTCCTCCGGGGGGACCCCGAGGCGTTCCCAGGCCAGCCGAGAGACATAGTCCCTCCAGCGTGTCCTGGGTCTTCCCCGGGGCCTCCTCCCGGTGGGACATGCCCGGAACACCTCCCGAGGGAGCGCCCCACTTACTCACATCCTTTAGAAAATACTATATGATTTAGAGATTTCACAGTAATGTTCTAATTCTGAGGCTAATCCTAATTCTTGTTTTTTTTTTTTTTTTTTTTTTTTTTTTCAAATTTGCAAAAGACAGTGGGTCAGTTCAAATGTGTAAAAAGGGTTTTATGCCAAATTTTACTATTTGGAACTTTCTACTATATTATAATAAAGTGATCACAAATATGCCTGAAGAGGTTATAGATGTCATCCATGCATGTTTGAGTAATTTAGTGATCTTTCCCAGGCCCTATTCAAAGCAAAAATACTCAAAGATGCATAGATGACATGTAAACCCTCTTCAGGCATGATTCTGATGAGGGAACAACAGATTATAAGGCAAGGCAAGTTTATTTGTATAGCACAATTTGTACACAAAGTAATTCAAAGTGCTTTACAGAATAAGAAATACATTAAAATCATAATAAAAACAAATCAAAACATAAATAATCATGAAGATTAAAATTAAAAAAGAATGAAAACCTTTCAGTTATTTGCACAGTCAAACAGAAATGTTTTGAGTCTGGATTTAAACAGCGTCACAGAAGAGTCTGTCTCACATGTTCAGACTGTTCCAGGTTTTAGCTGCATGAACCTGAAACTCTGACTCCCCTTGTTTAGTCGTGACTCTGGGCACCAGCAGGAGGTCGGTCCCTGAGCTCCTCAGAATGCGAGGTGGTTCATATGACACTAACATGTCACAGATGGACTTTGGTGCTCGTCCATGGAGACACTTGTACAAGCAGAGCTGCTTTAAAGTCTATTCTCTGAGCTACAGAAGCCAGTGCAGAGACCTGAGCACAGGACTTATGTGCTCGTACTTCCTAGTTCGAGTAAGGACCCGAGCTGCAGCGTTCTGGATGTTCTGGATGTTCTGGATGTTCTGCAGCGTCTCACAGCTCGTTTGGAGAGACCAGTGAGCAGACCATTACAGTATCTAACCTACTGGAGACAAACGCATGGATAAGTTTCTCCAAGTCTGATTTAGACAGTAAACCTTTGATTTTTGCTATGTTTTTTAGATGGTAAAAGGCTGCAGATGTTATTGATTTGATGTGGCTGTTAAAGTTCAAGTCTGAGTCCATTATTACCCCTAGATTTCTTGCCTGATTTGAAGGTTTTAGAGAGAGAGACTGGAGGTGACTGCTGACACTGTCCCTTTGTTTTCTGTGGACCAAACACTATGACTTCAGTCTTGTCAGAGTTTAGCTGGAGAAAGTTGTTTTGCATCCACACACTGATCTGTTGGATGCAGTGACCAAGTGAGTCCACTGGTCCATAGTCTCCTGCTGCCAGAGAGACGTAGATCTGAGTGTCGTCTGCATAATTGTGGTACGACACGTTATTGCTGCTTATTAACTGGCCTGTAGGGGGCAGCATGTAGAGATTGAACAACAGGGGGCCCAGGATTGACCCCTGAGGCACCCCACAGGTCAGGGCCATGTGATCTGAGACACAGTTTCCAATTTCAACAAAATACTTCCTGTCTTCTAGATAGGACTTGAACCAGTTTAGTACAGTACCAGAGATGCCCACCCAGTCCTCTAGTCTCTGTAAGAGGATCCCATGATCGACAGTGTCAAAAGCAGCACTCAGATCTAACAGGATCAAGACTGAGACTTTGCCTGCATCAGTGTTCAGGCCGATGTCATTTGTCACCTTGATAAGAGCAGTCTCAGTGCTGTGGTGGATCTAAAACCTGACTGGAAAACATCAAAGGAGTTGTTCATTTGGAGAAAGTTCGTAAGCTGTTGGTAAACAGCTTTTTCAAGGACTTTGCCAAAAAACGGCAGATTTGAGATGGATCGGAAATTGTTCAGTACTGTGGCATCAAGACTGCTCTTCTTTAGGAGAGGCGTAATGACCGTAGTTTTCAATGCATTTGGGAATGTTCCAGATTGAAGTGACATGTTAACTATGTGAGTGAGTGGTGAAAGTAAACTGTTGAGGATTATAACACAGTAGAAAGCTAAAACAATTAATTTTACATAACACCTCCTTTTTAACATAAGAGTATTGTCTTTTACGTACATAAAGACAACTGTTTTGTGGACTCAGTATTTGTTTTTATCTTTTTAAAACCACTAAAGGCTCCGGTTCCTGTGCACTGAGGCAGACTCTGCAGATGCACCACAGAACTATGTTTGCAGTCACACGTCCTGCTTTGGTCTAAAGTTCAGTGTTCAAAATGTGTCCACCAAAAGATTTTAAGTGGAGACATTTTATAGGAGACTTATTGCAGGTTGTGTTCATGAGGCATCAGTAGCTCTGTAGTTTAAAAGTCATGTCTTAAGCAAAATTGACTCTTGTGAGCTTTAAGCCATGTTATAAAGTTTTTACGTCCTCAAAAACAGACTTGGAGTGGTGTTTTGTTTCATTCACACATGTTTGGTCATGGTTATTGATGATTCTAGTGAAGATATTTGGATTTAAAAACACAGTGGAGCACTTCCTGTATTACCACATAACCTCACAAGATGAACAGTGTTTTCTGTTTGAGAAAAGAACTCAGACTAAATCTGCAGAGTTTGTGTTAAACATGTGTTTTTAAACTCCACACATCTTCAGTAGAATTTGGATCATTTAGATGGTTTCAGCCCGGGATTTGTTTCTGCTGAATTAAAAGTAAAAGGAGCTGTTCACTTGAAAACTACCACTTCATTACATTGATTTATTGATTTAATAGGGACAGTGCATATTAATGAACATCTACAACACTGCAGCGGAAATATGACAGATTATAGCAAAAATGTTCATTTCCATCTGTCGTCCCTGAGCAGGTGACACCACATTTAACAACAAAAACACTAACATGTGACTATAGCAACAGTGCTACAATAAAAGTGTCCACAAGTCTGGTTTTCCTTTAGCCTGTTTCAAGAGGGATTTTAAAGTGTCCAGTGTTGGAGTCTCTCTTATTGATAATGGGAGAATGTTCCAGAACTTAGTGCTTCTGACTGAGACACACTTTGTCCAAATGTGGTGCGTCTGTGTGGAGCTCACAGTTCCTCCGGGCTGTGGTCTTAGTTCTCATCCCACTGACGGTCTTTGTGTTAATAAAACGCTGTAACGGAACATCATAAGGTGGAACAGAGCATTTAGAGCTTTGGAGATGTCGACAGACTACATTCTAACATGACTTTAAAGCTCACACTTTGCATAATAAAAAGACTTTAAAGTCACTTGTTCAGAAATGTGCTGCTTGTTTGTGTGGAGTTTTTGAGTTTAACTGTGACTTTGTGGAAATTACCAGAGTCTCAAAACATAACCAAAAGTTCTGGAATTCCCAGGATGAGAATTTGATCCAGGATCATAACAGGTCTAGACAAAGACCAAGACTGAAACCAAAACAAGGTCTCGAAAGACTTAACTGAACAAATAAAACACTCTGAAATCTGAATTCTTTCTGTTCTGACCATAATGATTCAAACTAAGATCTTGCCTTAAAAAAGAAAAGAATATTATTATATTATATTGTTATATTTATATTTATATATGTAGTTTATATGGGGTTGTCACCTGCTTATATCCATGAAGGTACATGTGTTTAAGTTTTGACCTTTAAATCAAAAAAGTTCTGTTCTGCACCTTTAAAAAATGAGAAAGTGCAAATTATCATTATTTTCTATTGACCATAAGAGCAGTGTCAGAGAGAATGAGAAAGCATTTCTGTGTGAAGAGGAGGAGGAGGGGGAGGAGGAGAGGGAGGAGGAGGAGGGACAGGTCTGTGGGTCTATTTAAACCAGACACACTCACAGAGACACACAGACGAAACAAGAGAGAAGACAAGAATCAAGAAGAGACGACGCAAAAGACAACTCCAAAATGTCCAATACCAGTGAGTATGACGCAGGACCAAACCAGGACCAAACCTGCACCTGTCTGCTCCTGTCTGCTCCTGTCTGCACCTGTCTGCTCCTGTCTGCTCCTGTCTGCTCCTGTCTGCTCCTCTGACTCTCCTCTTGTGTCTTGTTTCACTGTACCCTGCTGCTGTTAATGGTGTGAATAGAGGAAGTTCTCTCCTCAAACTCCGTTGTTGGTGTTGAAAGAGACTAACTAGTATTTTGTTAATAACTGCGTTTTAACCAACTTGCAAATGACCACTTAATGACATCACAAGGTTGAACAGAGCATTTTGAGTGTTGGAGATGTAAATGTTTTATTTATTATATTATATATATATATATATATACATACATACACACACACATATATATATATATATATATATATATATATATACACACACACACACACACACATGTTATATTAGATAATAAATGTAGACTAATAATAAAGAGTTACTCTAACGTGTGAATAAATGTGTTTCTTTCAGACCTTCCCCCTCGTGATCTGAATGAGCTCTACAACACGGGCGTGCAGTCTGCAGAGTGG